AAAGGGAGACGAAGCAGCCACCTGCAGCACTTGCACAGCACATGCGAAGGAAGGTCTGACAGCAAAAACCAAAGGTTGAAGCATGTATTAAAATTAAGACTGAATAAACGGATGTTTAAATCGTTGATTAAAACAGCCACTACATGTTGTTGCATGGTTTTAAAATATCCAAAATTAAAAAAAAAAAAATTATTGAATCTCTCATGTTTTTTCCTGAGAATAGGTACTTGAAAAGCCCAGGAAATGCTCTAAAATGCAGCTGAGAGCATCTAAAGTCCAAAAATTTTCGGGGCCCTTGGCCGGGCCCCGAACCCCATGCCATGGCTTCGCAAAATGTTGGTGAACCACAACGGAAAACCCCCAAGTTTTTAAAAATCTTGCAACACACACACATACCCAGAACATGTATGGTACATGTACACATACATGTGTACATGTACATGCGGCTCTCTTTACCGGTACTTTTTTGAGTAAGACTTTTAATTTTTAGATAAATTTGATGACAGTGCAAGAAATTTCAGTGAGTGAATCGCAGCGGACAATACATGTAGACAAATGTTTGGTCGTGGTAAATATGATCATAATGGAGAGCTGAATATTTGGCGCCTGTTCTGGTGCCAGTCAGAAGGAACAAATCATGTTAACAGCTTTGATAACAAGCTGAAGACTCATTTTGTTAGATGAGACCGCAAGCCTCCTGGGTACTTTGAATCATCATATCCCTAGATCTCTTAAGTGCAGCTTATACTGAAGGCCGCCAGCTTTCAAAGGGACTTGGAAGTGGGAAAATAACCCGTGGAACCAACAAGTACACTTAATGCTCCAAAAAAAAAAAGGAGAAAGAGAAAAAAAGTGGCAATATTGTACAAAACCGTTTAGTTTTCCTTGTAAATGTATTCCCAAAGTGCAGAGCAATGCAGAGCAGAAGGCCTGCCGGGCCTTGGGGAGTACTGGCTCAAAAACACATAAGGTTGGTGTGATAGAGAACATTGCTCTAATCAAGCAAAGCCTTCCTGGCAATCAGGCAGGTTTGCCCCGGGCCATGGTGATGATTTTGGTAATTACATGTACATGTAAATTATATGCGAATACATGTAGATGTTTAGATGGAATCCACCAATGTGCCAAAGAACCCTGTCAGTTTGACTTAAAAAATTGTTCCAGTGCATTCGCAACCTCCACCAATGTGCCAAAGTACCCTGTCAGTTTGACTTTAAAAATTGTTCCAGTGCATTCGCAACCTGCCGCATCAAAATCAGAGGGAAATTACTAGTACACACACCTGTAGTGTACGCACAGTACAATGCGTTCTCAGTTCTGCACTGTAAGTACTGTGTTATGGTTCCCAGCCAGATGTTACTTTGCAAGTAAAATTGTTATTACCATTTTTACAAAAATTATCACTTTGTCATCGGAACGATTTCTCCAGGTTCGAAATGTCAGACCCTCTGCTGATAACACTATCACTATGCAGCCGGCAGTTTGCCGCAATTTTCCTAGTTTACAATCCTGAAAGTGGTGTTAGCAGTCTTTACATGTAGCTGATCTGAGTGAAATCTGGTGGTTTGGTTTGAAACCAGGCTGCTCATTGCTCGCAGTGGTAGTGCATTCTCTGTACCATCTTTCATGCTACTGTCAGCAGTAAGGTTTGTACATATGCACATGTATGTATGTACAGTGTTTGTATAACTTGTATTGATTACTTAAAATGTCTCATCGACTTTGCCTGCGTTGTAATTTCTAGAATTTCAGGTGGAACATGAGTCATTACTTTGCATGGCACACAGAGACAGATCGATATGTCCATGATCGGAGAATGATGCGGTTACGAGGAGCTTGTGTCGGCAATTGAGGATTTAGGCCACGGCGTCTAATCATCCATCGATCTGTCCTCACCCACTCTCTTATGACACACTTTTTATGTTCTTCTGTGGGCAGATGTATGTAAGATTGGCATGGTTGGGTGCCATCAGGACTGGCCGACTCGATCTCCTTTACTTTTTGACCCTTTCTGCTGTCTTGTCCCCTGCTGGATATTTTCTCTCCCGCCAACTCATCAAAGAGAGGATCACTGTCTTTGAGTGATTCTCCAGAAAGATCTCATTTTGAAATTGTTACTGGCTTGGAATAAGAAAGAACACTGGGATTACCGGTATATGTTTGATGATGGAAAGCACACAAAAGTCCAACCTCAGGATACCAGTGAAAGATAGATGCAGTAGTACAGTGTATTATATTGTCTTTGCTCAGTTCTCAGCTCCATTTTGCAGATTTTGACAAGATGATACCGGTACATATTGTCTATTAAATACCCAACACGCAAAATAAACATTCCTGACCAACACGGCTCTATTCAACCAACTTGATGAGGGGTGCATGTTTTTCCACACTTCTTGGGTTTTTACAAATGTTTGTGAATGCACATGCATGCGTACATAATGTACATGTCTTTCATTCGAACATTTGGAATTCTCAGGAGATTTGATGGAATCTCTGGGTACATGTAATTGATAAATTATGAACAACTGTAAGGTAATGAACACTGTACCGGTACATGCATGTGCTGGAAGTACGTTCTCGGCATCCATAAAATGGACACAGGGCGTCGAACATATAAACAAGTGGACGGCAACACGAAAAACTGGGAATTGCAAGTAGTCGTGTTGCTTTTGATGCATGATGCCTTTTTCATTTACTACTGGTGTACAGTGTGTCCAAGTGCCGTAGCACAGTCATGCCGTGCCAGTACATGTACATGTACATGTAGTTTGCTATGCACATAATGTACGTGTTCCTGTATTTTGTGTGAGATGGGGTCTACATGTACAAGTATGCTCGCACATGTGCGTGTGCATGTACACATGATTGAGATTGTATTGGTACCATGCAGGACGTAGAGACAAATGCACCAATCGTCCTGCATTTACATGTAAGTGCAAGCCGTGAGCATGTACATGTTTTGATGGATGTACGGCATGTGCATATACATGTACATGTACATGTATATATGCATGCATGTACATGTACAGTACGGTACTTTCAGAATTTGATTGTCCCTTCAAGAAGGAGATCTTATCCAAAACATGATACCTTTCTGTCACCATGGAAACATCTATCCATCCTGCCATTTGAGCTATTTTGCTCATTAGGAGTCTGAGCGAGCCAAGTTGCTCTTGATAAATTTGCTCTCCACTTGATGTGAGACTTTTGATTATGCAGTCGATGCGGTAATTGGTGGAGTCTGTCCTCTAGTCTTACAGGAAATTAAAAGTTCTTCAGAGTCGCTGTTCAGTTTGCCTGGAACCTAGGAATGAATGTTGCCTGTAGGTGTTATGTACATGTACTATAATTTACAGTACTACATTTAGTGTGTGATCGTGCATTTCAAGGATATCAGTTACATGTATGTACATGTACATGTACATGTATCGTACCATAATACCGGTAATTAACTTGAGTTCATTTTTACCAGGATCTTTCAATTTTTTTCCCGAGTTTTTTTTTTCCAAGTGTGTTCACATATTTAGTTAATAATTGAATGAATTACATGTCACCTGAATGTGGGATAGTTACTGTGGTGTCTTACATGGTGTCGGTACGTCATACATGTACATGTATGTTGGGACAGAATTCTCCTTTAATCGTGCAGTTGTGTTACACTTTACACATACATGTACATGTACATGTACAAGTAAGTCCTGAGCAGTGATTGTTCAATTGCTTCTTTGTTTTGCCCGACAATGAACAGATATCCATTTAAAGCTAAACAGGAGTTGACAAATGTGCATTGGTGATTGTTTGTGTCCACAGAACAGCAGCTGTCTGACAGAGAGAATTACAAATTTATCTTCAAGCAAACTTGCATTTTTAATTCTGACTAGTCGAGCCATGGCAACAAACAGTGCGCCATATAATTGTGTTGCCCGGTCCATGTCAAAACCTGTATACTGCTTTGTTCTAACTCAACACAATGTGCTATTTTTACGCCAGAAGCAAAATGCACAACTGCAAAATTTACTGTTAGGTGGTGCATTTGTGCACATGGGCCCCTATAATATCTTTATGCACGTCAAGTTTGCTTGAAGATAAATTGGTTATCACACTGGCACTCGTACAGTGTAGTTCTAACACAGAACATACGAGTACCGGCACCACGAGCAGCACCATCGTCAGCTTCAGGCATTAAGGGGGGGGACCACAGCATCAGGTGGGGGGGACCCACATCACAGGAACAAAACATATTTTTCATGCTTACATGTTGTATGCTTTAGACAGATGGGGTGGGGGCAGCTTCCCACCGGGGGGGGACTCAGTCCCCTCACCCCCCCCCTTGGCGACAGGCTTGACCACAAGGCCAAAGATGTGGGACACAGATATACTTTCAGTACGTGTACATGTACATTATTCTGTGTACCACTCACACTGGTGTGATAACTAATTATAACAGGTTTTTACATTATATATAGCACTTTTAATTAAGATCAAAGCGCTTTCCATGATTATTACCCCTGGTCACCGGGCCATGAAACATTCCAAATACCATCCCAGCTCCCTGTGAAGTATACAGCTCGAGGCTGCCATTTCGGCACAAAACAGCTAAATCTTACACTTATATGTAGCTGCCCACAGTACAGTTTTATGCATTTGTTTGCCACCCAAAGTCATTCTCAAGACAATTAATATCCAGAAGGTGTAACGCATTGAGTGATGTGTGTACTGTACATGCGTACACGTGTATGTCATTACAGTTATTAGTTTCTGTCATGAATTTACATGATCCAGACACGTGTACGAGTACCGAGATGTACATGTACATGCAGTTGTAGGCCTAACATGCCTACGGTATGCCTCAGGGTACTTAATTCATTAAGTGTCTGACTGCCTCCTAATTTGTAATTGCCTTAACTACATGTACAGAGATGTCGCTGGCTGATTAGTCTGCAGTAATGGATGTTTGTCACGACACTTACTTTTTCTTTTCTCTTTCACATGTTCAATAGTGCTCTATGTCGAGGGGACCCCCTGGTGGCAGCAGTGTGCTCAGATAGTGCTGTCCACGTCTACTCTAAGGGGACGCTCTTGCCGATTGGCACGTTTCAAGGTAAGACTCTCCACAGGTGTGAGGAGAAAAAGTACAATTAAAGTTGCGGAGAGAAAAAAAAAGAACTAAAGATTGCCTTCTCTCTCCCATTAATAATGTGCTGCTCACGTACATGTAGCACTCTAACCTTGTAATACTACAAATTACTACTTGTAGTTAAATGTAGTACTGAGCGCTGTCGCTTGTAAGAGGACTTGACTTTATTGTTCTCTGAAGCCATAAGATACAATAGATAAGACAATGTACCATACAATGCTGTGGCACTGTGAATGCACGGCTTTATTGTTCTCTGTACAAGTAACAATGGAAGGAACCTAGCCAGAAGTAGTAATCTGTAGCGCTAGGTCCTTCAGGCTCAGACTTCTACTTAGTATTTGTAGTACTGAGTAGTGTAAGCCAAACAATATGGTTGGCGGTTAGGGTTAAAATTAATACCAGTGTATTAAGTGCAAGTATTAAACACAAAGCAATTTAACTTTTCTTCCCTTTTGGCCAAACAATAGCCCATGCTGTCATTTTTAAAGCTAATCATCTTGCAAGGAAATGTTGAGTGTTTTGTTGGGAGTGTAAGAAAAATTGTCATTGATTTCAGTCGTAATGTGAGGTTGAGTTTTTACTCAATTGTAATGTGAGGTTGAGTTTTTACTCAATTGTAATGTGAGTTTGAGTTTTTACTCATTTGATTAGCATGCATGATTGAGAATATTTGTTGAGATATATTGGTACATTATCGTTTATCTTCTGAGTACCTTCAAGTCATATCACCATCTTCAAGGTACAGTACAATTCATCCCTCACCCATGGCTAAGAAATTTACATTGTAGCTCAGGTGCAGGAGCGGTACCTGAAAGCATTACTCTGAGGGACTTATTAAAATGCTAATGAGGGCCTTTTACTACATGGAAATGAGGCATTCAGAAACCTACTGTACATGTATCTTAAGGGGATTTTCATTTTCATCTGTGTCCACATGATCTACGTACTGTAAACGCAGTCCAAATACGGTTTACACTGTCTCAAAGTGGATTGCAATGCTGAGAATGGAATAACTTGAATTGTCTTTCTAAATTCATGAAGTTACCTGTATTTTCAACGACAGGCATTGGAGTGTGAGCGTAAATGCTAAATTAAAGGGTACTTTACTGTGCATTTTCTCAAGGTTCATGACGGGATTTGGGAATCATTGGATTACACCTGTAAATTAAGTTACACTGTAATATTGGATTTTGAAGGATTTCCTTCTACATGTACTGTCTCCCAAATCCTCCCAAACCTGGGGGATTTTGAAAGAATTGATAGACTGTACAGTTCTGTTTGTATCCTCAAAAATGGTGCATTGATGTTCTCAATTGGTAAAATTTGCTGGAAACTTTCTTAGTTACAGCATTTTTCTTGCAGTAATACATGTACATGTAAAGCTGATTCTACAGCCATGACAGCCATGTTGGCTTTGGACTGAAGGCTGCCTGTAATCCCCCTTGGACAGTTCAGAGCTAAAAGGAATGTTAACACAATAAAAGATGAGTCATGTTAAACAAGACAATTTGTAAGCAACGAATCAAAAAAAAATTTCTGGATGCATGCACATGTATGTAGTTCCTTGTAAAACTAGCAGCACATGTATGTACATGTATTATGTATGTCATCAACGAAAGATTGAAGTGCAAACGGGGAATTTATTTTTGGCACCTGAACAGCTTACCCACCAACGTGGGAGTACGGAGGGCAGATCCACTTGACATTTCAAGCTATTTGGTTTCGCCCGGCTCTCTCGAGAGCCCAAGAAACACAATTCCCCGTCCGGCCTCATTGCTTCCTTCCAGGCACTTCCTCCCACCGATGTTGGAATTGAGGCTGTTGTACCGTACAGTGGCATACTTCTTTGATGCACGGCAGCCCTGCGGCAGTGTTGAGGAATGTTACCACACCACGCGGCATACAAAAGCCCTGGCACATAGCCACTCTTGTTTCAATTTTTGCCTGGTCAGGAATCTTCGTTGTCAGAAATGATTACATTCGGTTCGTTATGAGAGAATGCCATTTTGGCCAATCTCCAGCTCAGACAAAGACTCTTCTCCCAAGAGAAAACCTGTTCAGCGACATCCTACCCACATCACCTGGCAGGTTATTTTACAAGGTTATTTACTCGGGTCCACGGCACAAATGGTTTACAGTCAGTTGCATGTGCTGTTTGACAATCGACAAAAGGCGAATAATAGTCGGGCTAATAATACAGGTCTGGAATTTTACATGTCCAGCTCCCAAGGGTCTGAAATCGCTCACAGGTATTTTGTGTTCAATTCGTATCATTTATGCGTAAAGGGGTACTACCATACGACAAGCATTTCGGATGGAAGCAGCGTACATGTACCATCTGCAAATGACTTCCAGTCGGCCTGAGCAATTGTTGTTGGTTTCTCTCTTGGCTCATCGCGCCTTACTTGATCAACATTTCACTGACGGTTTTTACAATCGGATGGTTTACATGCACAGCAATTTGCCGTCGGTCTGCTGGCTGAGAGTGACAATTTGGACTTGCACGAGGAGAGAAGTGGAGCAGAGTCTTCTGTTTGCATTTGCCATGCTGCACAAATGTGCGGAAACATTGAAAATGCCCATGCGCGCATGTACCACGTTTTCAGATAATGCACCGAGCAAAATCCTTTTGTAAATTATGAGTCTGTAAAGAAAAAGACGCCGTGGTGACAGCATCTTTAGATTGTTGAGAATAGCATCAATATTGTATGTGCAAATGCAGATCTTGAAAAAAACGAGCTTCTTGAAAAATTAGTAGCACAGCACCAGTCCGGTATTTTGAAAAATATACAGCTGTAGGTGCGTGTGTACATGTGCATATACAAAGGGTGAATCTCAAATTTTGGTCTCAATTTTTGTTTGTAAATCCTCTAATCTGATCAACATGTACATGTACATACATGTACATGTAACTCTGATTATACAGTAATTGTGGTATAATATAAGAGAATAAGTGTGTGCTTGGCTGGTCTTAAACGTGCATTTACATTAAGACTGGCTCAGGAGAATGGACACGACTAAAGCCTAAGCCGCAGGCAAGGGCATTATCAGCATTAGTCCAAAAAAGTCAATATACATGTATGATGGATTTCCAGTGATTTGGTTCTAGGATTGTACTTTCATTTTCCTGAACACCCCTGTCCATGTTATGGAATATTCGTTGTGCAAATTGTCCAATTGGTGCGCGTGTGGCGAGCAGCGTGCACTCTGACTCTTGACCAATCAGAATCGATTAAACTGTCTTGTGTCCACGTGCCAGCACATGATTTACACAGTGGGCATTACTTCTCAGTGGGCATTATAAAATGTTAATACACAGTGCACGTTGTTGAATAGGGAGGCTGCCTGAGGTACATACATGTATATACATTTACCGGTACCAGTATTTATGAATGTGTTGTCAAGCCATTAGAGCCTACATGTACATGTATATTTACATGAATAAGCCATTTGCAAGTGAAATTTGAATAAAATCTGATACACTGAGTTCTTTAAATTCACGTGAACGTAACAACTTGAATTCTCCGTACTAAAACCACTGTTGCTATACTTCGTGATTCAGGGCAAGCTTTTGCTTAGTTACATAAGAGACGCCTTGCAACAATACACTATTCATAATGGATAAGAACGGCACAAGGAACCAGTCCATTCCAGAGATGGTGGTCGTTCTGCAAAAGCTTGCCCCGAATCACGAGGTATAGCAACAGTGTGTTTAGTCTTGGGAATTCAAATTGTTACGTTTCTATTCAATCAGATAATACAGTGTACCAGATTTTATTCAAATTTAACTCGCAAGTGGCTTATTGATGCAAGAAGATGCATGTACATGTACAGTACTTTGATGTTCAGATGTACTCACGTGTACATCAAAATTGAGTGCATATGGCAACAGAAGTTTGCATACATGTATATTGTAATAGTGTACACGTATGCATTTACGGAAACAAAATTTACATGTACACGTATGTAATTGAAGTTATTATTATTATTATTACATATTGTTACATTTTGTGGTTGCCAAGCTGCTTCTCTGCATATTTCCGCTTGCAGGGAGAGACTGCCGATAATTTCCAGAAAATACATTAGAGTAATGTGCCAGTCAGTCGATGGAGATTATCGATTGCTTGTGCCCGGGTAATGTGACAGACGATCATTGATCACAGGTTCATGTACGGTGTTCGCATGGTACTGTGAAGTCATTTGACAAATAGAAGGGATGCATGCATTCTGTGGGGGTGGTTATTTCAAAGGAGACCACTGCAAGGTTTTTGGAGGTTTCAGGAAGGTCCGGTGAAGAGGCATGGGGTCATACACAGTTGGCTGGTTGGAGTTGAATAAGTAGTGGATATCAAACCAAACTCTTTTTAACAAGCCTTTGGGTAATGCTGAGTATGTATTGTTAAATGTACCCGTAGAAATAAATGTCAGGAAAGGACGAAACATCCAAGAAAAATGGGTCACTGGCTGCCTTTATGGGTGATGATTACCCACCACAGTGGAACCTGTTACACATTTATAAGCCATTTATACATGTACATGTATGTATATGACCGTCTGAGATGCCCATGTAGCTTAGTGATACCAGTGCCTGCAAGCTTTACATTGGAAAGGAAAACTTCACTTTAGCAGGAAAATCAAAGTTACATGTAATACCTTTTATAATGGCGCATTTGATAAAGCAGTGAAATTATCTGGCAGACCCATCTGCCTGCAACCACACACATGTAATACTGGTACAATGTTGTTGCAAGTACTATGAGCCTCGAGCTGGACCAAGAGAGGGCGCAATTCTCTTGGCAACGGAGGCTCCTTTGGTCGGAGATGAACTTCACTGGTTCAGGAACGATTATGTAATGGTCGCGTTACGGTCGCATCGCTGCCAATAAAATGAACACTCCCACCCAATGTGGCTCTCCTCAACTGATGAGCGGGTGCATTTGCTCGAGGTGGATACAGGAAAATTTGAACCTGTGCAGGTGTAATCTGGGCTGAGTCAACCAAAGTGCCTGTAACAATTTTCCAAACAAAGAAAGGAGATGCGCATCCATGATGATCCATCTGGATGACCCACACAGCCTTGTGACACTTGCGAGGACTGTGCAGGAGAAAATTCTCGAGCAGTAAGGTATATGTAACTTCAGATCAATGCCTGTAAACATGGTAAACCTGTGCGCCATCAGAGTGAATGCAGCCGACAGATTACTCAGATGATGTTCACTGGCCCTAATGCAGACACGAATGTACATGTGTACACGGTGGACTTAAGGTGTAGAGATGAAACTTGAGAGTGAGAGTGAAACTTGAGCGGTAGAAAATTGCCTCTGTTGGATTTCTGATGGCTGTGACGGAGTGAGCGAAAAATTGCAATCGGCTAATATTCCAACCTCCCAACGAGGAAGCAGACCTTCTTATTAGCTGAAAGTTTACCTTGTGCAATTTATGTATCCGCGACCTAACATGAACTTCAATTATAAAGCTGTATGCATGTACATGTATGTACGAGTAGCAGTCCGTTCAACTCCGTTGCATGGTGACCTTAATTCAGATGAAGTGCAGACAAAAGCTTGGCAAGAAGTTTGATGACCTATGGTTTAATTCAACCTTTAAAAAAAAAAAAAAAACGCATTAGACAAATTAGACAGATGCCGGACTTGACAGGAGAGGCTTACTACACATGTGCATTGGAGATGGACGTTGAGTATACATGGACAGTATGTACATGAACCGGTAATGCCTTTTACCACACTATTTGATGGCAAAAGAAAAATTGTAAAATCAACATACTGTACATAAAGTCGCAAAACCACAACGAATTTCAGTGTATTTCAATAACTATGTTGGATACAAATGATATTAAATAAATGAAATTGAAACCTGTGAAACAAGTCCATTGCTTCACTCAGTGAAGCATACTGTACATGTACAGGTGTACATGTTCTGTTGTACATATACGAGTACATGTACGGTACCGGTACATGATCATACATGAAACAGTAGTTGGCCACAGCTGTACAATGCTCACTGCAATTGGCTCGATGAAAGGTCCCATAATGACTGAGTGTGGATGCTCATAATTCTAACTGTAGATACATACAATGTCTTTGACACATTGATGAATGTCCACTTTATGTGCTTGCATAATGCTTGCTGTATACTTTTGGTGAGTCATCCTTTAAGTTTGGGGTCCAATTTTTTTCCTGTCCCCAGTATATCCGGGGTATGATTTTGTAAATGAAAACATTCAAGATTACATGTAGGTAATGCAAATGACTTTGCGAAAGAAGTAAAAATATTTGGAAGTCATTTTCAGTGATGTGCGTGAACTTGTATCTCTTGTCAGATTACACACGTCAGATGCAGCAGTGACAGAAAAATTTCACACGTTGGACCCAAAAGTTTTAAGACGACCTATCCACACTGATATGTGTCTCCACAATGTGTAATTTACATGCACATGGACACCAGATTCATGTGTACAGTGTACACGTATGTATTGTGGAGTTAGTATCTGGATACGTGTATGTGTACATTGGTGAACACTTTTTGGTAGTAAAGTAGGCGGTGCATCAGATGATCTTGTCACCTAACTGTGCTTGAGTGACTCTGTTTCTTCATTTTGTAACACAGTTCAGGTTGTCAACCTTTCTTTCTTTCCAGGTCACAGTGACATGCTGTCTGGGGCAAGGTTTGGCAACCGCAATCCTTATCTACTCTTCACATCATCCAAGGACGGAACGGTCAGGTATGCTGAAATGAGTGGAATGAATTAACTTTTACTTTTAGCTACAAATTCTCAAACCCAATTTCGGCAAACTCCACCTCCTCTCAAGCCATTCCCTTAAAAATTTAAAACATGCCAATTCTTAGACTTCCAACACACATTAGACATAAAATAGATTGAACTTGTGCAGTGGTGTTTTTTTTTGTGTGGGTCTTGCTTGGGCTGTATAGAGGATTTTTCTTCCCATGGTTTTTGGCAGTCAACGTCCAGTTTACACAGATGTGGGCGGAAACCTGCGCCTTCAAAGTCTCTCAGCATTCTGATGTACATGAAACTGCCGGACATTCACAGGCATGGTGCGCCTCCTGAAATGCCTTGGCCCAACATGTTATGTCACAGGAAAAACCTCTGTAGGAAAGGAAAAGATGTATTTTTTTTTTCGTTTTTCTCTGTCAGTGATTCAAGGGGCACGACATCTTCCATTTGTCACTTTTGAAGCGTACAACTCATCTACATGTACTGACGTTCTCTCGCATCAGTGCTCTAAGCAGTAGTCAAGGTTTTATTTGATTTGATGCTGACTGGCATGAAACCCTGTGACATCCTTCAGCTACCAGGGGAAGACAAGAAAAAAACTAGGGTCAATTCCTGACCGTGGATGTGGGTTATATTTGCAAGGGGCCTCCTCACCTTCAAGTAGTGATTCACGTCTTTGGCGCAAGGTGCATTACTGGAGTCACTTCAGGAATTTTGCACTCAAGTGACACCAGGCAACCACAGCGGTTTTTTCAAGGTTTCTGGGCTTGTGTCTACAGGCACCAAAACTAAGGATGCAGTCCCTTAAATCATGGGGTTTTTACCTGATTGCGAATAACGTGTACTGGTATCGACCAGTACTGCTACAGAGATACATATAGTAGGAGGCTTCACTTTGGCACATGTACCAGTACATGCACATATACAATCATGTACATGGTTGGTCTACGGTACATATACATGCACCTGACTTACATTATTGCTTACATGAGACTCCAAGGTCAGAAGCCTCATCGAAAATTAAGAAGCTGGAACCTTAATCTAGACCCAGGAATAAAGCCAGTTGTCAAGGGTGCTTGTCTTACGTTTTTGGTACACATACATGTACATGTATGTTCGATACGTGGACAATTACATGTATTTCACAAACAAAATATGAAATAGCAAAAATTATCTAAGACTATCACAGTAATTTCCTAAAAATCTGAGATTGTTTTGCTCCGGCTTCTTCAGACAAACCTTGAGTGGTGAGAACAGTATATCTTATGACGACCAAGGCTGACGCTCGGCTAAATGTTATAAACTCCTCCTTAAGGTGTTGAAAGAAAATTGTGCCTTATGAGAAAAAGGCCCTTGAGGTTCAGACAGACACACATCCCCCCCCCCACACACACACACACCATCATCTGGGGACTGTACATGAGAGTGTAAATTCGCGATAACCTCGCACGTGAGAACGACAGGTTTTGTCGCTCAGAAATGACGTTATTGGTGTTAGTGGTCCAAGGATCGCAGGAGTGTGCTAGTGTGAGACCCGCGTGAGAGAAATGCTTTTATAAATGAAATGGGTCTTTAAAGGGTCTCTCTTGTTGGTTTTAGATTTTTAACGTCTGCATCTGTACAGCCGTTCGAAGGAATCGCAGAAAAAAAACACATTTGAACGGCCTATTCACTCTTCCATGATGTGTGTTACTACGTGGTTAATTGGTCAACTGTAATCTTGCTAATTCCACTGAATCCAACAGCATTCAGAGGCTGTTGCAATAACTTATCAGTCAGGGTACACTGTGCCCAGATAACTGCGTGGTACCAAGTCAGGTATCATACTAATTCACAGCGCTCGGTGACGTTGCTCAGTGCAACGTAGCGGTCATCCACCGTTGCTTTTTTGTTGCATTCGGTTTGATCGCCATTTCGGCTACATGTACATGTTGAATTTCATTCTGTTAGGGAGTGTGTCTTGTGAAAGAACTCGGGCGTCGGTTTTTAATGAAGCATCAGCAAGCAAACTATCCATGCTGCAAATAGTCACCTGCAAACCTTGGGGTTTTTCTCACAGTGATGCGAGAGAGACTGAACAATGCATTTTCCTTGAGACATGTGCCATTGGGCTCCCTCCACTGATTATCTTGACTCGCCCTTCCATCAAATTTTCATGGCACCTTGAAGTTTTGAGAATTCGTTTTCTGAGGCAGTGCATGTACGTTCGTGCTGTGAAGCCCACCCAATATATCAAAATGGCGCATCTTTGATGGCACAAACGCTCATTGTGGGAGTTCTTTCATGCAGAATTGAATTATTGGTGCATGTACATGTACGGTATGTGGACACTTTTGGCACAACTGACTGTCTCATTTGAGACTTGAATTCTTTCTTATCTTCTGCTTCTGCCTCATCAATGCAGGAAAATTCCCATGTAGGAATGAGGCCAGTTGGTGAGAAAATACCCCAGCTACGCTTCTCTAAAATAATCCATGAGTTTTTAAATCCAAGAGTTTAACAATTTCTTGGCCTTACATTACATTTGCATTCAATCTTTCCATCCCTAAAGATGGTTCAAGGAAAACAGTGGACAGAAATTCCTGAAGATTACACCTCCCTATTCAAACTGTTTTACTTCATCCCTGTTCATGTCTTGACTGACCTCTGACTGATGAGGTGGACATCCGATGAGCGGGAATCTAATCTCCGTACTTTGTAACGCTAATTTGCAGGTGCTGGGACATGAGGACTAAACGAACAAGAGCATCACAGGTGTACACAGGTCAGTTGAGTTAGTAGGGGTAGAGTATTTACAGATCCATACAGGCAAGGCTTTGTGTGTGACATGGTTAACCCTAATCCCCAAGGGACCATTGAAATCCTGCATAACCTCGTTGGGTTCAGTTAATGTAAGTTGGCCGTTAACATCCTGCATCAGTTTTCACGTTCAAAATCACCCCGGTGTCTGTGTGTAAATTTACTGTTGTCTGCAAACGATCGTCAACGAAAATGTAAACTTTATCAAGTGTGAGCAGTGAAATCAGCGTTTTTCAATCACTGAAGAAATTGGATGATTTTGCTTGGCAGAAAAGAGCAAATGTAATCAAAATGATAAATCTGATAAATAGCAGTGGCGACATCTATATTACCGGTGTTTGAAGAAAATGGAGCTGTAAGACTTGTGGCCTTCATGCATTCTCGTGAGTCCATTTTGATTTACACAGTCTGATGATAAGCCTGTAAATATTTGATTTAAAAGAGAGAGAGAGAGATGGAGGGAAAGACGTGATATGCGCCTGGCACTTTGTTTGTCATCTGGGGAGACGGATTACATTTGTCCTTATTCATTAAGTAGTCCCACTGGAGGACTGCGGGAGAATTTCCTACAAATGATGCGTGCGTCAGGCTGCATCAGCCGGGGATTACATGCGGATGTGCTCTCCGGAACCATCATGCTGTCAAGTTGCTCAGAAAGAAGCCTTGTTGCTGTCGTCACCACGCCCGTTGCAAATTACATTACTGTGCAGCGTCGTTTGAAAATGGAGAAAGGGAAACGCAATCTGCCATGTAGTGCTTTTCTACATGAGCTGTCACTCTATTGATCTTTGGCTGGAGAAAAAAAATGCTTGGTGGAGCGGCACAACCGTGAGGTCGGCCAGAGTCGCCCCTCTTTCTATGACACGCACAGTGTCGTCGACAGCTAAAACAACTTTCACCCTGCTCCGTCACATTTAGTCATGGCGCTGAGTTGGTTGGGGGGGAGGTGGGGTTGATGAGAGAGATTAGAGGGTGTCAAGTGAAAATGCATACATTGATGATTTGAGATGAGCCAAGAATCCTACCTTCAACGATTGTTAATTATTTTTTCTGTATGATTCATCAAGGAAATTATTAACCGCTCGCAGTCGCTGACGGTTTTATTCCACAGCAAACTTGTCTGAAGTGTGGCATCATTTGTGGCCGAAGAAACTGACCTTTTACATGTAAATTGACAAGATATCACAACTACATGTATAGTCACTTAAGTTGGACGTCACAAATGCTGTCCCTTGGTGGTCATACCTGTGCATTTGCATTGTACCAGTACATGTACAGTACTTGTATGTTAAAGATTTGTGCAACATTTCTTTTTTTTTTAAACTATGGGACATGTTGGCAAGCAATACTTGCTGAAATGCCTGGCCATTTCCCAGTGCCGCTCACGCGCTTTGCACAAGCACAACTCCCAGGTTAAACCCTCTGTATATGTACAAACTCAATGGGAATCACTCAAGTGTAGGGATGAGTATAGATGTCATGCGGCAGTGCATACAGAATTCGCCACAACACGTACATATGTACTTTAACATTCTCGATGGTACATGTACAACACAGGAAATCCCTTTGCAATTAGACATCATCCAATGTGAAGTGGTGAAAAAAACAATTTGCAAGACGGATGACTGCAAGGCAAATATAAAGTGCCTTTTAATTCTCTGCTGGCACTGGCCACTATATAAACAGAAGTGATTTGGACAGAGAGTTTGGTTCAGTGCAACGTGATGCTTCTCAAAGGATTAATAAGAAGTACATGTACGTGTAGGTGGGTGACCACTCTGTCCTTCCAAACACTTTGACAGAGAGGCGTTCGTGCATCTTTGGCAGCTGGTTAAATATAGGCACAGTACAGATCACTGCCATCACAAAGCCGCATAATCTGGGCACACCCAGTGCACAACAGACTCGCTGCCAATTAGTGTTTGAACTTAACTATGCTCGCCGCTATTAAAGACAGCAGAGTTCTTTTGAGTTAGGTTCACTGTTTGTCAAAATTGGTTTTTCTACAAAATTAAACAGTAGATGAATAAAAAAAAGAAGGTGTCTTAATTATACTTTTCAAACCCTTCCAAAGAGCCACCAAAGTATAAAATGGGTGTTTTACTTCCATATCTACGTCTAGCAGTACGTACATGTGTATGTAGTTTTGGGTTTGTTTGGGAGGGAGGCAGCGAAGAGGGGGATGTTTGTTATTGTTGATTTTTACAGGGAGCTGAATTCAAAAGAGGGATGAGTGCCATCCTTTAAGCTCTGTGATGACTTTCGTCAGGGCTTCCACCCGGACATCGCCTGGAAGATATCTACCTGTAGGGGTCATCTGCGCAATACATGGCTGGGCTACAAGCTCCCGTCTCAGTAGCTGTGGCAGCTCGTTTGCGATCATTGGGCCTGGACGGCCCTACGTCCCCCTTGAATTCAGAAATTCATCCCACAGTTCAGTTCGCGCCTCACTTCGTGCTTGGCGATCCTGTCAGTGGCTTATCTGTGGAATTCCTTCCCCGCTGGCCCTCATGTTTCCTGCCCGAGACACTGTTCCTTCATAATGTTGATTGGTCTCCTGATATTTGGCGGCTGCCGGAGCTTTTTCCTCATGTCAGTGGCCTGAAACCATTCTCATCACCTGTTCATAAATGCCGTGTACATGTATGTAAACGACATGGCTTGGACACTATGAATAGGAATAGTTCATTATGGAAAGCTACATGTAAGCAGTAATCATCGGAGCCCTCAAGATCATCTGCATGTATATCTCTGTTTGTTTATGTGTTGTTTGTTTTGATTTCAGGAACTCAAGAACAATGGAAGTGTTAGCAAAGAGGCCCTTCCCAAAAACCTTTTTATAGCTTTGGTCAAAATGCCAGTGTGTCAGACCCGTTAAGATTTCGTTGACGGCCATGCGTCTCTGCGGAGACTCTGCCTGAGGTTTAGGTGCTCAATGTAACAAGCTGCCCGAGTACCGTACATGTAGCACCTCTGGGTACCAACTTCCCCTCGTGTCCATGTATGATTGCAAGCCATGCCCTCAAAGCTGCTGAAATTTTATTGGCTAATGTTGGGTGTTGCTAATTCTTCCTGAATTCTGATTGGTGTATCCCATCCAGGTACATTGTACACTGTACAATGTGGATTGGATTTGTATGTGCATCTGGATATTTACATGTAAATTGCTAAACCCCATGTCCTACATGTATGTCATAAGTACAGTCATTTTTATCATTCTCAGATTTTTTTGGCCCAGTCAGAAAGTTAAGGCTATGGCTGGTAATTGCATGTGTGGCTATGGGAGATACTGGCTCACCTCTGGCAGCGGCTTCCCATTGACATTATGTTTAATAGGGAATCAGCCGGTTGATTCAACCAGAGCTGTCATCTGTGTTAGATATCAAGGCCATGCATGCTAGATTCGTGTTTGGGAATGGTACTCCAAGTTTACATAATCCTTGAATGTAAGACCAGGTGAATATGGAATTAGATGTACCTGTTACCTGACCACAAACCACGGACAAGAAAATCATTTTGGTTGGAGCAGTTAGTCTGTAGCTGATATTGGGGTCCAGTCCTGGGGGAGCACGCAGGGTTTGTTTTAATCATGTACATGTACCAATTTAAAATTCTTTCACCTCCAATTTTCCAGCAGTGGGCCTGTGCCTCCTCTCCAACTTTGCCCCACCCCCATATCCCCAGTTCACTGATTGATCCAGGAAGCCCAGTGGGTACCATGGTTCCCCGCCCCCCTCGTTGACAGAGAGACTTTTTTGTCTCTTTTTTCTTTCTTTTTTGGGGGGAGGGGGAGAGGAAGGGAAAGCAAGGGGGGGTATATTTGTGTCCCTTTCAAAAGGACAGCCTCCAATGTAGCCTCACCCCTCATTAAGGCCACAAAAGGTTACTTAAACATTTGTTATCTTTTGGCCAAAAAACAACTTCTGTTCTGTGTCTGCCCATTCCCGGTTCAACTTCTACCTGTCCTTTCTTTAATACTTGGGGTAGGCTTCTCCATTATCAATCCATTGGATTTATTGGGAGCGTCTGCATATGATACTGTGGGCCTTTAATAGGCATCTTGACAGCAGTTCTATTGTAAAGATTGACCCGGCAAATCAAGGAGGAGCTGTGATTAAACGGTGCACCCCCCACTTGCCTGAAGAGGCATTGTACATGTACAGACAGTACCTGCATGACAGAAGCCAAAAAAAGATGAAAGACCGAAGATGAGATTACCTAAATTACTGACAAGTCTTTGATTTCAATGCAAAGTCAAGCGTTTGTTCGTCACTGAAGGTTTATTGATCATGGCTGTTAAAATGGTCTTGTAAAGAGATTGCGGCAATGTCTTATACAGGAAACTGTGTGAGAGGGATAACGGTTTGGGTCTACACAAAGAGGTGCAAGAGTGCTTGTGTTTGAATTGTACATGGAAATTAGTTTTATGGAGATTGGAGGTTTGAAGGAAAGATTGGTCTTGTCATTTGCCGATAGAAAGGGCTGGCAGTGTCTGGATTTTAGTCTGTGATGTAAGCTCTGGCAAGCTCTGTGCATCCATTTGTGTGTGTTTACTTGGGAGCTCGGCTTCACTTGTAGATTGGGAAATGCCAGAAGTTTATGCAAACTGAACCTGAGAAAGCGAATGACCCCAGGGGCTTGTGTCTTTCCCTCGAAAGCGCATGAGATGTTGTTTGTTCAAACACACTCTGAACGCGTTGTCAGGTATGACGATGCAGCAAATAGCCCCACAATGCGTATATCTGCACAGGATTGTTTGTGTCTGTAGCGCAGACCAAAATTGAGAATGAGCTTGTTTCAAACAAGCAAGGTCACTCAGGAACAAAGCACGCATGCGAGTTGGCGTAGGGCTGCACTGATAGGGTGGGCCTCGTATGTGGGTCGGAGGTCATTCAGATGCGCATGCTTTATTTTAGACGTGCTGTTGGAATATGGAACTGGCTCATTGGTGGCATCCAGTTCTTGTCAGCAAACTTGTCAGAAATTGGAAAACCAAGACCTTTTTTTCATTTTCCTAGAAATAAAAAAAAAACCTTTTACTGTCTTGTCTAAATAAGAAAATTAAAAAAAAAAGATGGTGGGCTTGTAACATACTTATTTAACATTACATGTACATATTGGCATTCTGTCACCACTGCAGAAGTGCAGGTACTTCCATCATCCACTGTCAGCACGCACTCAAGAATGGCTCTTCCCATATTATTGTCTCATTCATTATTCGCTATCTTCCTCTGAGTCATTTGTTTGTTGTCAATCCAAGCACAGGCTACCCCACCCGCGAGAGAAATAAGTCTCGTAACTTGGCATCGTTTTTCTTTTGGGTGCAGTTCGGTGAAGTCGTTCACCGCAGCTCTGCTTTTACTCGCCCGATTACTTTCGGTTGACAGATGAGCCTCCCTAGCCCATGACTGATTACAGTCCTTTATTTTATGGACTGAAAAAAACAGGAAAGTGATATTTTTGCCCAAAACAGAGAGAAGGTACCTGCATCTTGGGAAAGCTGTAATGGAATTGGTCTTAGCTGGCTTCCACATGTGTATTTTTTCTTTGTTTGGTTTAGTTATGTAAATTCATTTGTTTGTAATGCTTGTACATATGTATGTATTTTCTGCAGTAAAAAAGAATCATTCCTTTTAGCCCATGATGATTAGTGTTGTTTCAAATTTCCAGGATTGGAGAAAAGTAAATGGCACGTTGAAGGAAATCACTCTTAAATATTTTGACTGTACAAGTGGCAGAAAGCCTACATGTATCTCGGGAACTTTGATTACACATGGGTAGAGGTGGAAGGGGAGTTTTCTCATTTGGCTTATACTGTGAACCTGATAATAAACAGGGGTGGCTGTAAAGCATAACATTAAGAGGGAAAATGTACGGTAGAAGACTTTATTGCTGTAGACACATTCGGTAACCATGGTAACACTATCACATTTTATCTGGCCCCTGTCTATGGTGTTTAGCATTGTACTAACTGTTGTACAGAGCCACTGTTCTGTGACATGAGCTTCTTGTGAGACCCACCTTACTTTTTGCCATTGAAGGGGGCCATTGAAGGGGTCCATCAGGAATACAAAGTGAATGGTTTCTGTATTCACCACAGGCTTTGTACATAGACAAAAAAGGGAGCTTTTATCTACCAGTATACGCATATTCACCAGTCTTTCTTCGGGCCACATGCCATGGCCGTTTTCCAGTACTCGACTTCGTCTCCTTCTCAGGCTTCATTCCCAAAACCAATTCCCAATTGTGGGCCTGAAGCGTACATTGGATTACTGTAATTTTTGGCTTTCTTATATCTTGCATGTATTTGATGTTCTGTGGCACTGTTAGACTGATTACTGCACTTACTGCTTCAAAGTCAGCTCGTAGAAAAAACAGTTGAAGCCTGAGACAGAGCCCAAGTTGAGTATTGGAAAATGGCCCATGCCTTTGCTTGTTTGCGTGTGCCTTGGAAAGGGCACGTGTACTAATGTAGTACAAGGAATTTCACAAATCTGTTGAGTGCTTACTTGAGCACTGGATGCAGGGTACCAGTGGGGCTCATTCGGTATCCCAGCCTCTTAAACATGAAATGCTGTAGTTGAATTCCAGGACGATTTCTGACGTCGACTGTCTGAGGAGACAATATTGCTGTAGTGGTGTCATACTTTGCACATTTGCACAAACCTGACGTGCGGGTGGATTGGCCAAGTCGCAACACCCTATTGGTTGAAGGCGCATGTGATTTGTGCAAGCCACCCGTCGACACAGCTGCAGTAATGGCTTCTACTGTACATGTACATGTATGTGTAATGCTGGTCATTGAATTACATGTATCAGTAGTCTATTTTCTCTGCGGAAATAAGTGCTTGTATTTTCTAGCAATGGTAAGAAATTTACTGCTAAAACCTGTGAAATGTTGTTTTTCTCCCCTTCCACAGGCATCGAGGGGAACATGTTCACAAGCTTTGACGTGAGTTGCAACGACAGAATTCTTTGTGCTGGAACTCAAGCACAGGGAGATGATGCTTATTTGATATTCTGGTGAGTCCTTTCAGCAATACGTTTGTCTTGAAAATTTGTCGTTGAAGGGACGATTATGCCTATGGTAATAAGTGTATAATTCTGTGGATAGCAGAGCCATGTAGCATTGGGTCTTGCTGATAATCTGAGAAATTGTTAGTGTAAAAGGAAACAAAAATAAAGAAAAGGAAGAGACAGCATTGTCAAATCTCACCAAAAAAATGTTCTTTCTTTTCTTTTTCTTTTTTCTTGTTTGTTGTCGCCAGGCAGCCACACACTTGTCCATTTGTCTTGGCAACAGCACTGCTTTCTCAGCTGTAACTATGGGCATGATTTGATTTTAGACTCAGAGAGGTTTATTTTGGGCTCTGTGTAAATCAGCCCCATCCATTAGGTCCCTCTCTGTGATGGCAGTACAAGTTGTGACAAGCCTAGAGTTGATTGCATGTTGCACTCAGTGCGGTCGTATGGTACCTAGAGTACACTTGGTAAATTCACCTCTCATTTAGCCCCTGCTCCATTTACCGGGACACTTCAGTAGTCAAATACCAAGTACTTGCAGTGTGGAGCCTGAAAACAACAGTACATGTACATATACAATGTACATTGTACATGTACCTCAATATTCTTGCCATGCATTTCGAGTTCCACTTCTTGTTTCTCGAGGCATATACATAGGCTCTAGAGATGTGCGGTTTCCGCTTTCAAAGAAGTTTCCAAGTGAAGAGCTCGTGGAGAGAGTTGAAGAAGGATGTCGACACGAAGTCTGTTTACTACATGTTTTTTTAAATGTCAGCATTTCCACTGAATTTTATGGATGAGAGTACAGGACTTGACCTGTTAAAACCCGTAGTGTGGAATGGCACTGGACATGTACAAGATTCTTACACTGCCGTCACCAATCAGCTTTGAGAAAAATCATGTTTGCTTGGAGATAATGCAACGTTTTTGTTTTCATTCCATTAACTGGTGATGGAAGTCATAAAATTGCAGCAGAACCAATTTTCTCTCAATTTTTGCAGTCAAAATTAGTTGAGATGGTCTTTGTTACCACTTACATGTACATAATTTTTCAGCTTAACATCTTTTACATGTACGCATGGTGTGTTTGCTACCAGTACGCTGTGGATTGTTGGTTTTCGCATTGAATACGGCCGTTTCACAATAGTGCGCCTCCAAGAGTTTGCAAAGCGTCTGCCAATCAGAGTGCGCGAAATTTGTCGACCCAATGGGCGTTTAGAAAGGGTTGACAAATTTCGCGCGGTATGAGTGGCCAATGTGTTGCAAACTCTTGGTGGCGCACTATTGCGAATCGCCCGTATTGTTTTTGTTTTGTCAAAAGGGGAAAAAAAGATGATTGCAGGCTCTGGTACGATTGTTTATCATCTAATCATGTAAATAATTTCTGGATTACTGTACATAACTTGTATGTGCAATGTACATGTAAACCAAGATACATGTACATGTATCTTTAATAAGAACATGTTGAAGAATTAGAATCCGTTTGCATTGTGGAGATCAACTGTGAGGTCATTCAGGCATTGATCAGGATTGCTTGGAACTGGGGATTAATGTATTTTCCTCTTCTTGAAAGCATTACCAATTCTGCTGTCCTATTAAACCTTGTGGTCCGTAATGCAGTCCACTACTTGTCGATGTTTGTTTGCCGAGAGGCTAGGAACATTTATGGGCCTGCCGATACAGCACAGCCAACGGGATATGCGCTTACGATGTAGATCACCGTTGGCTTGGGCAAGAGCCCATGCTCCCTGGGGAGCCGAGAGTTTGAGTCGGCGTAATCACGCTCGCCTTGTTGCCTTTCACTATAATGCATCAGAGACAAACCTGACGACACTGCCTAATTGAAACGGAGGGAATTGAATCACTGTCTAAAGACCCGAGGAGAGACAGAAATTTGGAGTAAGAGGAAACCTGATAATGGGGAGATGAAAAGGGAAGGGTTGTGTGCTGAGATTGTGGGGGTGTGACAAGCGTGGTTTCTAGGAATAAAACATTGGCTTGGCTTAATGAGAGACTGTAGGGAGCTCATCAACATCCGGTCTGATTGTGTTCCTCTCTTTCCCATGTCATTGATCGGAAGTATAATCTGGTTAAAAAAAAATCTTACGTACCGGTACAACTCTTGCTCTCAGATGCAGAGGAAGCACCTCAGAAACCTTTTCAAATCCTGTTTTGAAAGTCTGGCTGTGACAGGATACGCTTGTATGTACAAAGTACCTACACTGCTGGTGGAAAACACCGGCACATGTACGTGTATTTGATTCCTCTAGGATATTACGGTTGCAACAAAGTTTCTGTAGAGTCAGGAATGCCATTTATTCAATTAATTTGATATGGACTATGTGTATTTGATGACAGGGTTCCTGCGGCCTGGAAAAGTCATGGAAATTTGTTTTCATTTTCCAGGCCTGGAAAAGTCATGGAATTTTGTAAAAATGACTAAAGTCATGGAGAAGTCATGGAATTTTTCAACCACTGCGTGTGATTTCTATTATCAGAAATACATGTGTGTAAAACGAGTGATTTATTTATTTATTTTACATCTTTTGACATTAAAAGAGTAAATCAAATAAACAAGGGCTGAAGAAATTGCATTATTGGGTCATGGATTTTTATAGTTTGGTCCTGGAAAAGTCATGGAATTAAATTGTCCTTAAGGTGCAGGAGCCCTGTGATGATTTTCAGCATTTAGAAACTAATCAAGATGGTCTGGCCTCGCTGTGGTGTTACATACTATGGTTGGTGCCCAAATAGCCCCTAAATGGAACCGTGATAGACTTGCCTTGAAACCAGACATTACATGTACCTCTGTATTAAAACCAAATGAGCATCTGCATTTGGGCACTTTACCAGCTGTACATTTGTGTGTGAATTGGCCAAGAAACAGAAATTTTAGGTCTACTTTTGAAGGATGGCGAGGCATTTACACACAGTGTAAGTGCACCTACCTCCTTCGACAAAGACTCCAAAACCAAACCAAAAATGTGGCTTAGCTCACATAAAAAAAGGGAACACAGCGATGATAAAGTACCGTATCATACCTCGACGGAAGGCATTAACTTTTTTCTGACATTGCAGCCACCTGCGATATCTGACACAAATTGAAGTCAAACTCCTTGAATAAGATGTTTGTCCCGTCTCTTGCGCCCCAGGCAACTGGCGCGTCTCGCGACATACGAGATCCCTGCACAAGAGCTGAAATTAATCTGCATTCCCTTTTCAATTTTTGATGAAATGCAAGAACTGACAAATATCACTCGCTTACATTGTGAGATATTACAAAAGCCACCTCGAGGTACAAAATGAGGAATCTTTTTGGGGGGGGTATTTACAGAAAGCCAGAGCTGATACCGAGTATTTTGAAAGCTTTACACACAAATGAACAGATGATGCAGCTGCATGGTTAAATTTAATAAGATACGATTGCCTTTTCTACAAATTATTTTTGTCTCTGCTCCGGCAGGCCGAAAGCAATGTAAGTTGATTTTCTAACCCTCTGTCCTCAAATACTTTGAAGAGCTGGAGGGGCAGAAGAATGTCAGACATCAGCAACACACTGTACTTGCCTGACCAAACATAACCATTATTGACAAATTTAACACATTCTGCAGAAGGCCTGTGGAGAGTTGAACAGGAACGCTCAGCGGAGGTCAAACAACCTAGAGTGACCAATGGGACCAAGAATTGATTGCATCCTTAGGAGTGCGTGCATAGACGTGATAGAGTTAATACGTGCACATACATGTACATGTATACAGGTAGCTTTGCAAAAAACCTTTGAATACTTCTGGCTTCAGAATGTACGTACATGTACATATATTGGAATACATATAGGTCTAGCTCAGATTGATTGGATTGAACATGGTGTGTTAGCCTTAGGTATTCATGTACATGTATGTATCTTTCTTTTTTTTTTTGTCTGGCAGACTAGTGATAGCCTGAAGGCCAATGCAAATTACATGTACCGGTATCTTGAAAGCTCTTGACACTGTTCTGTCAACTCTCCCCCCTCTCCCTATTTTTGGCTCACTGGTCATAATCACAGAAGGTGTTGATTACTGTTGGTCTGATTCAGGATGAGATCAGACTAGGGGAGCACTTCACCAAGAACAGCCCCCCCCCAAGGAAGCTTGAGTATGAGGTTAAGTGTTTTTGCCCTAGGATTTGAGAGGAGGCTCTTAAGACTTTCTGAGAAGGCTCCAGCATTCGCAGTGTGCCCCTAGAATGGTGGTTGTTGCTTAAGCAACAATTGCAGTGATTTACTGTCTGGAAAAAGAATATTATCCTTACAAGTCCGGGGGGGGGGACTTTTGTGAAGGGAACTTCTAAATTTGAATGAATTAAGTGTTTTCCAGAAAAGTTAGTCTTTAGGCATTTTGTTTTTGGTTCTGTTGCTGTGGTTGAGCTATGAGCTGACCGTGCTTTGTGTTTCATTGCTGGTTGGGCCACAGAATGTGTGAGACCCCAAGGTGGTTGATTTTGTTATCCAAAACCAGTCAGATTGTCATACATGTAGCCAGAGGGTCTGGTGAACAGGCACTAACAGGAGCTCAGTATTGGCCAAATCAGTTCTACATGCATGCCTGGCTCAAGTCCAAATTAAAGAATACACCGCACACTGGACATGTATATTCAAAGTAACAAGTGCTTTAAAAAATGTTTGATTTGGAAACCAGTCTGTTGAAGAGCAGTAAGTGACTAGCAGTGTTGACGTACATGTACTCATCCTTGAGTACAACTCGAGTACTTGACCCATTCTCAACTCTCAGTGCTCAAAAAAAATGCTTGGCTTGTACCTGTACTCAGACTCGTCCCCAAACCTGGCAGTTTGTATTCTGTGCTTGATTCCTGTTCTGGTAAAAAAAATCTAGTATTTTCTGTTTTTGATTGTAACAACTTCAGAACTGAAAGTCCTTTTTCACGCTGTACATGTACATTTGCTTATCTTTTTATCACTTCTCTGATAATCGAGTCTTCAAGATGGTGAACTGAGTGCTCGT